TATGGAAGAGACCCAGCTTCCGCTTGACATGTCTTCTGACCCTCGTTCTAGCTTTGCCTTCCCCCCAAGCCTGGCCAAAGCCGGCCGTTCTCGAAGTGAGAGCAGTGCTGACCTTCCCCAGCAGCAGGAGCTGCAGCCCCTCATGGGCCACAAGGACCACACTCATCTTAGTCCAGGCACTGCCAACTCCCACTGGTGCATCCAGTTCAACAGAGGAGGCCGGCTGTAGCCCAGGGCCTCGGGGAGGAGCAGGGTTGTGGGCCCCGTGAGGAGTGTTCCTCAGGCAATGGGCAGAGGAGCATACTCAGCCTAGTACGGGGCCAGAGGGGCCTGGACTGAAGTGGCAACTGGGCCTCCTTGGGACTGGTCAGAAGGGTTTCCTGGGCTGGTCCTCACAGGGACCCTTCTTACCACTCTCCCTGCTCCTAACCCTTTCTGTTTTTCATTTCAAAAATGGCTCAGGATCCAGTCCAGAGTTCTAGGGGATAGACCCACAAGCTCATGTCACTTCCCTAGGGCGTCTTCCTGGACTTACTGTTGGCAGCTGTTCTTGTCCCCAAAGCAAGGGCATCATTATTCTTTGGACACTGGTCTCCCCTGTCCTCCCCCCACCCCACTCCCCCACCTCCCCTTACCCCCCTTCCCCCACACCAGGTCAGGACCAGTGCTCTGACAATGAGGCTTTATGAGGGGCTGGTCCTCCAAATAACCGGGGTAGGATGTAGCTCAGGCCTCAGCCTTTGGCTCGGCTAACAAGTTGGGTCCGCTTCAGGAGTAGTGGGAGTCTGCCTCCACATTTTGCTTAGGCCTTTCCCTTTGCTGCCAGACGTTGAGGTAATGGTGCCTCCTCTTCTAGGACTAGGCCCTGGGCCAGGCTTTAGGTCAGAACTGCTTCTAAGCCAGTCAGCTGCTCTAAGCTTGAGTCAGGAATGTTCTGAGACTTGGATCTGAGATTTCTGAGGAGGAAACAAAGAGGCCTCTGGGCTCCTACGTCTCCAACTTTTCCCAAAGGGAAAAGGAACAAGGTATTCCAGGGCCACTGCACCATTACTCAAGGGGCTAGGATGCCTGCCTGCGATGTTTGGGGACAGTTGACTGAGTAGCAGGTGGCTTTCCTAGGGTTAGCCCCTGCCTTGTGTTTTGTACCTTAAACCCAAGATACATTAAACATCTCTTAGATGGATGAGTGTCCTCTGTCCATTTGTCTCAGGCTTTCGGGGGGGGGACAAGAAGGATCTGCCTGTTCAAGATTTTCATGAGTAGAGAATAGTAGGAGAGATCTTAGACAGAATTCTTAGTCCCTCTGGTCCTCGTAAGTACTTTTCCAACATTACCCTCCTCGCAGGAGGCATGGGGTGGCAATCTAGAGGACCACTGTATGGGTTGGGGAAGAAGGTGTCTCAGCACTGGGAGTCCACAAAATGGGAAAGGACATCAGGAAGAACACCCCGGAGGTCAGAGTCTAAACCATCCAAGGGTGAGCTTCTGTAAGTACTGCACAGAGACATTTCCAGGGAAATGGAAGGACAGATGTGAGTCAAATGAACAAGTGATTCTCCGCATATGACAGGTAGGAAGCCAAGCTCCAGGGAGTTGAGTACCTGAGAATTTAGAAGACAAAGCAGTATGGGTCCTGAAATCCGTGGATAACAGCATTCCCCCAATCTAATTCCTGCTGTGCCTGAAGAATTTTTTTAAAGCATCTTTGAGAATAAACACCAAAAAATTCACTTGTTTAAAATGTATGGTTAAATTTGCTTGTTTTGTTTTTAGTATTTATTTTCGTTGGGTGTGGTGGTGCTATCTTTACTCCCAGCATTCAAGAGCCACAGGCAGCCGGGTGGTGGTGGCTCACGCCTTTAATCCCAGCACTTGGGAGGCAGAGGCAGGCAGATCTCTGTGAGTTCAAGGCCAGGCTGGACCGACAGCCTCCAAAACAATACAAAGAAACCCTGTCTCGTAAAACAAACAAACAAACAAAAATCAAGAGACAAAGGCAGGCCAATCTCTATGTGTCCAAAGCCATCTTTGTCTATGTGGCAAATTGACAACCAGGGCTACATAGAGAGACTGTCTAAAAACAAGGTTTATTTGTGTTACAATTGTGTGTAGGTGTGCATGTCTGCATGTAGGTGTGTACATGAGTGTGGGTGCCTGCAGAAGTCAGAGGCACTGGCTTACCTGGAGCTAGAGTTGCATGTGTTTGTGCCCCTCCTGGGGTGGGTGCTGGGAACCAGGCTCTGGTCCCCTGGAAGAGCAGCCAGTGCCTCAACCACTGTCTTCTCCAGCCCCAGGTTTTAGTGTGGTCACATAGTTGTACAGACCTTCTCATGATACAAGAATAAGACACTTTCATCATTCCCGCATGAAGCTCTGTACTGAAGTCTCTCCTCCTCCCGCCCACCACACAGTCATAACATTTGCTAGCCCACTTTCATGTCCGAGTCTGAGGACCTTGGAACGCATCAAAACCCACAGGTTTGGTCAACTTTGTTTTTTCTGTGCATGGGAAAAAGCTAAAGAGAAGGAAGAGTGACAGCTTTATCTTCAAATTTGCTAACAGCTGGTTGATAGGACTTGATAGTTAATTAAAATAATTAACAATCCAGAGTCAATCCTAGCTGTTACTTACTATCTGTATCATGTGGGTCCTGTTGCCTTTTGTGACTTAGTTTTCTCATTCTAAAATGGGATAGTTGAAGTAATGTGTAGAGGCACAATGCCTTTAATCCCAACACTGGGGGTGTGGAAGAAGGTGGATTCCTGTGGAGTTGAGGCCAGCCTGGTCAACATAGAAAATCCCAGGCTAGCCAGAGTTACCAGTGAAACCCTGTCCCATAAACAAAACAACAGTAACAAGGGCTAACACTCATACTTAATACTTCATAAGATTACAGCTAGGATTGAAATGGGAAGAATTGTCCCAGCCCTGGCTCTGTGGGAACAAATGGTATGTGTTTGCGTTATCATGCTCGTTCTGCAAGGCAGAGATGTATGGAAAATGCTGTGGTTCTTTGATTCTTGGAAGAAGGCAGACAGGAAGAATAGCAGATTATGGAAGGTTAAGTAGTGGTTTCCAAGAAAGGAACGCTAGGGATGGAGGGCACTGGGGAGGCTACTTAAGCAGCTCAGAGTAGGTGAAGAGGATGAAAAAACAGGCAGTTGCTTCCACTGCTTTTTAGTGTCAGGATAACTGGGGGAACTGGTCAAAACATGGAGATCCCTGAGGCTACTCCAAGGTGTCTGATTTTTAGAGCCAGGGTCTCGCAATGTAGCCCTAGCTAGCCTGGAACTTGATATGTAGACCATGCTGGCCTCAAACTCACAGATCTGCCTGCCTTGCCCTCCCCACCCCAGTGCTGGGATTAAAGGCATGTGTCACTATGCCCACTTACTCCAAGAGTCTCGATTTAGCAGATCTCTGGAGGCCCAAAAAGCTAGTGAGCACAGCTTGGGAAGTGGGAAAAGCTGCCAAGCATTTGCTCTGTAGGAGCAAGCAAGTCAAGAGTTTGTCCACATTTGGCCACTTGACTGGACAAAATGACATGGGAAGTGTGGAGAGGACTGATGAATCCAGGCCGTGTGCTACCATGCTTAGCTCTAAAAAATATTCTGAGGATCAAACTCAGAGCCTTATGCTTGTAAGGCAAACACATTACCCACAGAGCTACCTCCCCAGCTTCCCTCCATCTAAAAAAAAAGACAGGACCTTGTTATGAAGCTCTGTCTTGCCTGGGACTTTTTTACTCTATGTAGACAGACTAGCCTTGAATTTGTGATCTTCCAGTATTTTTATCTCAAGTAGGTGAAGAGGCATGTACTGTAGCACCAAGCTAAAAGGAAGGATTTTGAGGATGATGAGGGCCTTCTAATTCAGAGAAGGTAGCATGAAACAAAAGGCTTAGTCAGCTGTGTTTCCACGAGTGGTCTGGGACCTAGGTAAAAATGATGCCTCTGGTGGCCTTGAATGCCATACCAAGGAGCCTGGGGTTATTTAGGTCAAAGATGAGAGGCGTCTGGAGAGTTTGAAGTTGTCTTTGCTGTTTACAGTCACTGAAGAAGGGTACACAGAATTTAAGGTATTATGGTACTGCTCCTGTATCCCCAAGCCTAACAAAGCCCAGAGGTCACTTTTTTCTTTTCTTTTACTTTTTTAAAAAATTGATCATGTGTCAAGAAAAGAGAGGCAGGAGAGGACTAGTGAAGGAGCAGGGGAGGGGCCTGTCCACATTTGACAGTCGTCAGTGGAAAAGGCCTCAGCAGCCAGCAGAACCAGAGATGGCTTCCATGAGTCACGGTTCAGACTTGCAAGCTCAGCCCACAATGCCTGCTGTGGTCAGCCACTCCAGGTTGGCTCTAGGCCTAGTCCCCCAGTGTCCCCCACTAGGTCAGTGTCTGTCCCTGTTTCTGTTGGTGTGCCGTGCAGCCCTCTGCCCCTTCTGCCTGGGTCTGTCTCTATCAGTGACTTTCCCTAACTCTGGTTTCCATATGACCCACAGATGGAGAGCTCAGGAGGGTAGGAGCATTGTAACTAGTCTTGGATACCCCTGAATGTTTGTTCTGTGCCAGGCTTGAAGTGCAGAGCTGGAGTATGAAAGTGGACAGCATACAGTCTGCTTACAGGGCACATTCTATGTGGAATGGAAAAGCCACAGCCTAGTCCTGCCTCTGTCTCAGCAGGAGTGCCTTCCCCCAACGGCCTGCTTGCGCTCTGTGGGCCCAGGTTAGCTAGGGCCTGTGGCTGATGCCTCTTATTTGTTTCTGTCACTGGGAGGGGGTATGTACCTGCCAGGAGGCCCATCCACCTCTTACAGCTCCTGGGGGCCTGGCTGGTGGGTGGGGGTGAGCTCAGAGTGCAGAGGGAGGAGAGGAGGGGGAGGCAATGACTCAGAGGGGGTGGCCTGGGATACGAATCAAGGACAGAAGCCAAGACTGGACCCAATGCTCCCAGAAACTAGAGGAAGGAGGGACAAAAGGCATGGCTGGGGGGTGGGGACCAGAGTAGGACAACTCCAAAGCCAGCCCTGCCTCTTTGCTCTTCAGAGTCTGCCTGACAATCTGAGATGGACAGGGGACCTGCCGGTGTTTCTACCATGGTTGCAGCTGATGCCTAGATGCATGAAGGATGCGCCTGTCTTAGAGCCAGGGACGGCATATCCAGTGTCCTCTCCTCCCAGGGACCAAGGCCATGGTGTGAGGCTAGGTGCCATTTTCGGGTCACAGAGCCAACCTTCTTACAATCGTCCCACAAATTCAAGAGTGCTAGGCCAGGCCCACTTACTCCAAAAGGACTTCAGACCCCAGAGCTGAGAGCAAGGGGGGATCTCCCAGCTTCCCGGGTGTCTTTCATGGGTTCGAGAACCCCTAGCTAAGGGTGAAGCAAGAAAGCTGGGCGGGAGCACAGACATCTGGCTCCTCAGGTCTTCCCTGGTCTATCTGACAATCCAGGAGAAAAGAATGGCGCTCTGGTTTTACAGGAGAGGAAGATGAGGAGTCAAGAGGACCCCACAAGAGGTGAGTGACGGAACCAGGTCCCATCTGGCCTCTGGCTCCAGGGCCCTGTCTTCCTCAGCACCACTTTTCTGTGAATAGGGAAAGAGAATTCAGGGGATTCAAGGAGGTGGAGGGTTGGGCCTCACGGATTTTGGCAGGCTTGGGTCCCCACCCAGTTCATTACCCCCTCTACATCCCTTCGGCCAGCAGCACCATCCAGTCACGAGAGCACAGTTTGTTTCTTGAAATTTTCTTTGTTTTTTATTAATTGAACCCGGGGGCTCATACAAGCCAGGCAAGGGCTCTACCACAGAGTTATACCCCACAACCCATCCAACCTGTTTTGTGGTGGGTAGACCTGAGTACCTGAAGGGGCCAGCTACAGTGGAGAGCTCCCTCCCACTCTCCATGAAGATATTCCACTAGCTGCCTGGGCTTAGGGAGTCTCTCTAGGGCCTCCCCTAAACCTGGCCCCACACGTCTTCCTTGAGTCAGATTTGGGGGCTGCGAGCGCTGAGCTGTCCTCATCTTGGAAAGGGAAACTGGGCAAGTATTCCCATGCCCCAGCAGAGGACTGGCGAGGAGCCTCGTCCTCCTCCCACAAGAGCGTCCTCTGCTGCGAGCCCGTCTTTCCTTCTAGCAGTGCTGAGGTTCACCCATCCTTAAAGACAGTTTCAGCTCTGGGGAGGTCAGGCAGTGGGCACAGTGGAGTGGCCCATAGGCGCTGCCACGATCCACTCACTGCAACCTCGAGGGAGGTCGCCTCAAGTCCCAGGCGCTGAGAACAAGAGTCCACCCCACCCGCGCCGGGGGTCAGGAGGCAGCACGGTCTACTCTCCTCTATCCTCCGGCTGTCTGAGCTCCTGCCTTCAGAACGGACGCTCTGAGCTGTGATTCGGTCCTCCCGTCCCTAGAGGGCGCCGCGTCCCCAGCGGCCTTACGGTCCCTTCCAGCCGCCAGAAGGTGGCGCCCTCGGATGCCAGGCGACCTCGCAGTACCGTCGTCGAGGCTGTGGTGCGTTTGTTCTTCGTTCGTTCGAGGGTGGCGTGGTCTCCCAGGCTTCACAGTTCCCCACCGCGTGTCCCGGGGATTGTGAGTGTGCAGGTGACCCTCCAGGGACCAGGAGCGCTGGTACAGGCGACTAGGCCACGGCTTAGCTGGGCGGGCTGACGCAAAGCGCGGCCTGCTAAGCCCCTTGTGAAGGTGTGTCCGAAGGTAGGGCCACCGGGTAGAGGCTCATGGGAGCATGACCTGGCCCTAGGCACCAAACAGACTCTGTGTCTTCCCTCCCCAGGCTGGACGACTTTAGCGGCACCGCTTCCTGGGACCTGGTACCCAGCCTAGGACTTCCTACGCCTAGTGCTTCCGGCTTGCCTGCCCTGCCCTCAGATTCTTGCTCCACCATTTTTAAACCAGTGCCTGGATGAGCTGAAGTCACCTTTCACATCAAGGCCTAACCCCTTACCCACGTGCCCAGAGCGGCCCACTCTTACCAGAGAGTGATGGAAGGGCCTCTTGAGGGTGCGGGTGTGTCCCCAGACTCCCAGGGCCCTGATGCAGACAGGTTTGTTGTGTGTAGTTTCAGGAACACCCGGAAGGAGAAGTCTGCTCACCAGATACAGGCCATGGACCCCAGACCTTCAACACCAGCAGTAGGGGCGACCCAAGGCAGAGGGCTACAGCGAGGTTCCTTGTCCAAGAAGCCTGAATCCCTTCCAGAGCAAAGGGCTGCAGATGGGTCAGGGGACTGCCAGGGGAGCATATTAGGAGGCCCCCCAGTCCAGTCAGAGGAGCCACCCTTCTCTGGAGTGGAAAACCTCTTGTGTCCCATGTCCTCTCACCTCAACCTGACACAGGGCGAGAATGACAGCCAAGAGGGAGGCTTGATAGGAGACTCAGAGCCAGGCACAGCACAGCCAGCAGGTGTTAGCCCTTTATCAGAGATGTCATCAAAGCTCCTGGAGGCAGGTAAGGGAGACTGGGAAATCTGGGAAGGGAATGGGGCTATCTGGAGATGGATATTGACATTTGGGAGGGCTTTGACCCTACTCAGACTGAAGCCCTTGTCCAGGGAGGTTCCTGGGAAATTGGCCCCATTCAGAACCAAGCCATTTCTCTTCTTAAGCTCCTAGTGGATCCAGCTTCCAGCCTGCTGACTGCCTCCTAGCTCAAGACCTCACCTGGGAGCTCCTGGCCAGTGGCATGGCTACCCTACCAGGTAGCTAGAAGGATGTAGGCGAGGTGGAGGAAGGGTGGCCTGACTGCCAGCATTCACTCTCTCCTCTCCACAGGGACCCGTGATGCGGAAGGCCGAGCAGTGCTGCTTCTGTGTGCCCACAGCCCAGCTTGGCTCCATCCCAAGTGCGATAGCCGTGAACTCCTGAATCTTTTGCTCTACCTGCGAGGCATTCCCAGGTTTGCGGGAGACGGTCACAGGGCTTAGCCTGAACCATGAGGTGCTGTGATCCATGAATCAGGTATTCAAACAAATCTCACCATTTAGGTGTGAAGTACAGGCTCTGGGTCTGACCATACTAGTTGATGCTCAAACTTGTTCCCCGCGCTCTTCTCTCATCTGGGGCCTCAGCCAGCTACAAGTAAGTAGAGGACTGTGACTCCCTTCATTCATTTTCTGTATAGTTCAGGGTTAGGGTCACTGTGGTAGAGCTGAAGTTGGGATCCTTGCAGGAAGCAGCCCCAGGATCTGTGCAACAAGTGCTGCTGGTTGGGAAGATGCCAGAGGAAATGCCTCCAGGACTTCAGGTACCGAGCCAGCTTGGCTGGGATGGAGGTGGGGGGTCTTTGTCCACATACTCCTGTAGCATACCTTCTCCTTCTGCAGTTCAAGCAGCTGCCCTCTCATCAGAGCCTACTGGCCCACATTCCTAATGTGGGGCTGCCTACTTCACTTGGAGGATGCCTGCCTTACAGCCACCAAGCCTGGCTGGATTTCCGGATGGTCAGTGCACCAGGCAGGGTTGGAAGGTTATGGTTATACAGGTAACCTGGACCTGTGGAGAAACTGGCTGCAGTGGTCTGGAACCCCGGAGGCTGGGAGCATCATCCCTGCACATTGTTCATGTTTTTGTCCACTCACAGCGTCTGGAAACCCTACAGCAGAATTGTCAGGAGACTTGTGCCCTGGTCCAGGGAGTCATTAACAATATGAAGGCTATGCAGCAGCCAATGGAGTCTGGGGTGAGTGTCACCCTCCTAATCTCCTTGAATGCGCCCCTGACTTCCTCTTCCTTAGTAACTGATGTCTGTTGCTCTCAATTACAGGAAGTTGGTCAGCTGCTACAGCAGGCACAGTCCCTCATGCAGCAGGTGTTAGATTCACCACAGTTGTCATGGTTACAAAGCCAGGGAAGCCTGGAGCTGGCATGGCTGAAGCAAGGGATGCCAGACGTGACCCTGAGCCCTGATTACAGGTAGGAATTAGCCCAACTACCAGACCTCACCCCAGCTCAGTTTCCTACATTTGTGTCAAGTACTCAGCTGGCTGGCTCAGCACATGATAGATCTGAGTCCCAGCATTTTAGAGTGGGGAAAGAGGATTGTATGCTTTTCACAGGTTTGCAGTAGACAAGGCTGATGAGCTGTATGGTCAAGTGGATGGACTGTTGCATCAGCTAACTCTGCAGAGCAACCAGCGAGTACAGGCCCTAGAGCTCCTTCAAACGCTGGAAGCCCAGGAGGATGGGCTGCGCCAGGTGGGAACTACTTATCCAGAGTGCGTCCTGCCCTTGGTCTTAGCTGTAACTCCCCCATAGCAGCTGCCGTTGCTCTCCCCTACTTGTGTCCTTCCAGATTGAAGTGTGGCTACAGGAGGTGGGCTGGCCGGGACTGGAGGAACCAGGGGAACCCTCTCTGGACACACTGCTCCAGGCTCAAGGTCCTTTTCAAGAGCTAGACCAGGTTGCCCAGGTAAGTTTGGTTCTGCAGGGACTGGGTTACCTTTCTCTCTTGGAGGTTACTTCAGGGGGATCAGTTGTAATCAAAGGTCCGTAGTCATATATGTGCGAACAAAGAACTCTGCGCAGAAGCAGCATGGGGGAGTCACTTGGGGTTAATTGGGGAAAAAAGAGGGGTGAAGAGACAATCAAGGCTGGAAAATAGTTCAAAAATCCCCGTGATAGAAAGCCAGGCGTGATGGTGCCTGCCTTTAGCACATGGGAAGCAGAGGCAGGAGGATGGCTGTCCCAGGACTACTTAGAGAGACCCTATCTCAAAACAGAAGAAGACAGTCTGTGGCAGGAAAGTGGGGGGAGGTGACATGAGGTGCCTCTAAAGATGTAGGAAATCCAGCTTGAGGCAACTGCAGTAGCCGTGGGGCACCTCTGTCTCTGGGCGTCTGGGGGATTAGAGTAGTTCTAGGACATTCCTTGGACACCTGAACGTGTGGATGCTCATGTTTCTGACATAAAATCCTGTAGTCTTTGCAGATAGCCAATAGATAGCCTTTCATACTTCTTAATAATTTCTTGACTAGCATATCATAGTGTAGATACTATATAAATAGTTGTTAGGTTATATGTTTGGAGAATAATTATAAAGAATCTTATTATATTCATATAGGTATAATTTTCTCTCAGATACTTTTAATGCAGTTACTTAAATCTATGAATGTGGAACCCACATTATGGATCCTGGAAAATATGGAAAGCCAACTGTAATATTTTATCTGACTAAGATGGGAGTAAAGATGAATTTGGAAGTCTGTAGGATTTGATAATCAACCGTATGAGAGAGTGAGAGGACCCAGGGAATCAGAGCATTTTGGTGGAAGGCCTTTATATGTCCAATTTTAGCTGTGATTTTGAAATAACTGTGAGGGAATGAGAAAGGACTCTGAGTTTTGGCCTGGAGCCTCATAGAGAGGGTCATCTGTTGGTCATGGGTGTGGATGTTATTTGGGGTTTGATCATATGAGATTGGAAGGAGAGAATGCACTGTCCTCAGGAGCCAGGTGAGGGAGAGCAGGAAGAACCTTAGAGAGAGCGCTGAGTACGGCTGCGGTGCAGACTCAGGTTGGGGAGGGGGCCTGGAGAAGTCTTTATGAGGGAGACGATGTATAGATGCCCAAGGAATGATCTAAGTCTGGGCTGCACCCCCAGCTGAGCACATCTGTCTCTCTAGGAACAGGTCAAGCAAGGGGAGAAGTTACTGCAGCCACTGGTTGGCTGGGAAACTGCTGAACTGGGGCCCCCTGGAAAGCGCTTTCTGACTCTGAGATCCCAGCTGACAGAATTTTCTAGAGCTTTGGCCCAGCGACGTCAACGGTTGGCAGATGCCGAGAAGCTGTTTCAGTTCTTTAAGCAGGTGGCTGAGGGGGTCTTATTCCTGGCTGTGTGGAGGTTGCCCAAGCTTCACCAGAGTCTGGGTGCACCCTGTGTGTTTGGCTTGCTTGTTCTCTTATCTTGCTTTCAGCCTTATCCCAAAATTCAACTTCTAGATTATAGCCTGGGTCCAGCCTTCCCAGGCCAGCCAGTGGGTGGGGCAGGGAGCACAGCAGAAGTCACTGCAGGCTTGCTGGGGTCCTGCTTTCATGGCTCTGTGTCCTTGGTGTTGCAGGCCACAACTTGGACTGAGGAGGGGCAGCGGGTACTGACCGAGCTGGAGCAGGAGCGCCCAGGGGTCGTACTGCAGCGGCTGCAGCTGCATTGGACCAGACATCCTGACCTACCCCCTGCCCACTTCAGGAAAATGTGGGCTCTTGCCACAGGCCTAGGTTCAGAAGACATCCGTCAGGAATGTCGCTGGGCCTGGGCACAGTGCCAGGACACCTGGCTGGCTCTGGATCAGAAGCTTGAGGCTGCACTGAAACCACCATCAACCAACAGCACAGCTACCTTGTGTGTCAGGCGGGCCCCTGCCACACCCACTGTTCCTCCACTGAGAAAGGCCTATAGCTTTGATCGGAATCTGGGGCAGCGTCTTGGTAATGCTGCCCATCATGGCCACTATGCAACAATTGCTACTGACTCTCACAGACCTGAGACTGGAGGTGTCTGGTCCAGGTCATCCCCATCTGTGCCCCTATCAGGCAACTCTGAATTCAGGAACCCCAACAGGTATGGGCAGAGGGTAGGGTAGGGAGGTTAGTAGAGGGTCTTGGGTTCTGACTCTACCTACCTCACAGGCTGCAGCTAGTATTGGCGGAGATGGTGGCCACAGAGCGTGAGTATGTCCGGGCCCTTGACTATACCATGCAGCACTACTTCCCTGAGCTAGATCGACCTGATGTGCCCCAGGGCCTCCGTGGCCAGCGTGCCCACCTGTTTGGCAACCTTGAAAAGCTTCGGGATTTCCACTATCATTTCTTCCTGCGTGAGCTAGAGGCTTGCACCCGGCACCCACCTCGAGTGGCTTATGCCTTCCTGCGCCATGTAAGTTCCATAAGCCCCATGAGCCCTAGAGTGCTTCTGGACACATACCTAGTGCCAGGCTCTGTGCCTCACTGAGTGCTGTGGGAAAGCAAACTGTTACCAGGGTACAGCTCTGAGTGACACCCACAGAAATACCTGCTTCTTAGGGTGTTTTCAGTTAAGTAGGAGAGATGTACAAATAAAAATCATTCTAGATTACACTTAGGATGGCAATAAACAGGAAAATTGCCTATGAATTACATTTGGGCAGGGTTCCCAGTGTAAAAGAGAGGATGTTTGAGTAGAGGTCAGAGGGGGAGCAGAGAGTGAGTTCCACCCCCAGAAAAGAGGATATCGTGAGCTTGGCTGAGTATAGTGAACAAACATTTCAGAACCTTGGGAGGGCAGAGCTGAATATGGAGGCAGAGCCTGGACTGCTCCTGCATAGCATTGAGATTCTTGCTAGATTATAATCATTCCACGTGGGATCTGCAGGGGTAGGAAGAAGCTCCTTGCCCTGAAGCCACTTACTGGCATCTTCGTCCTATTAAGCTAGGAGAGTGGTGTGGCCGAGGTGGGGGCTATCTTTTGGGAACCAATTCCCTGGTACCTGGGCTGAGCCATGTGTCCTTGTAGAGGGTGCAGTTTGGGATGTATGCACTCTACAGCAAGAATAAACCTCGTTCTGATGCCCTGATGAGCAGCTATGGTCACACCTTCTTCAAGGTAGGAGTCTGGGACTATAGGAAGAGCAGGAGATGGGTGGCATAGTCCAAAAGCACTTTGTGATTTCCCATTTATGTGGCAGGAGAAGCAGCAAGCACTGGGAGACCACCTGGATTTGGCTTCCTACCTACTAAAGCCCATCCAGCGCATGAGCAAATATGCCTTACTACTGCAGGAACTGGCAAGGGCCTGTGGGGGCCCCGCACAAGAGCTAGGTGCCCTTCAGGCAGCCCAGAGCCTTGTGCACTTCCAGCTCAGACATGGCAATGACCTGCTAGCCATGGATGCCATCCACGGCTGTGATGTGAGTCATCCCAGGTCATGTGGGGAAGCACCTGGGATATAGAAGAAGGGGTGGGAGTGTTTAGACATCTACTGGGCTTCAACTTTGCAGGTTAACCTCAAGGAGCAGGGGCAGTTGGTGCGACAGGATGAGTTCACAGTGCGGGCTGGACGCCACAAGTCCTGTCGTCGTGTTTTTCTCTTTGAGGAACTGTTGCTCTTCAGCAAGCCTCGTCGTGGACCTGCAGGTGTTGACATATTTACCTACAAGCGTTCCTTCAAAGTAAGTCCACATGACCCCGACCTCTGCCTCTAGTCCCCCATCTATGCCTCACCAAGCTCCTTTCCCCTGACCATGTAGATGGCGGACCTTGGCCTCACTGAATGCTGTGGGGAGAGCAAACTGCGCTTTGAGATCTGGTTCCGTCGTCGAAAGGCCAGGGACTTGTTTGTGCTGCAGGCCTCCAGTGTGGCCACCAAACAAGCCTGGACAGCTGATATCTCCCGCCTGCTCTGGAGGCAGGCTGTCCACAACAAGGGTAAGTCCTTGTTCAAGCCTAAAGATTATATGTCTGCCTATGAGCCTGAGAAGAGTTTAGGGTCCTTACTCTTTGGGGAGAGAGTAAGGGATATCTAGGGACTTGGAAAAGGTTGGCAAGGGAGAGCAAGAGGTGCAGCAGCAGCAGACAGTGCAGGGAAAGAACCTCTGAGTATCAGAGGTCTTATGCCCTAAAAGGACATTATGGTAGCTTTCCCAGGGGTGGTTGAGAACAGAGAGTCTGGCACCAGGAAGGATCATGGCATTGGATGGTTAATTTCTGGGACAAGGATATATAAGAAAAACTCATTAGATACAGCTCAGGGTGCCTCACTTATGCCTTATTCTCTACTCAGAGGTGCGTATGGCTGAGATGGCATCTATGGGCGTGGGGAACAAGGCCTTCTGGGACATCGCCCCCAGCAAAGAAGCTATCAGTGACCGCAACATCAACTATGTCCTAAAGAGACGAGGTAGTGGGCATCCCACGGGGGCTGGGAGTGAGGAGGCAATGTGGCCTATTGTCACTCCTGGCCTGTGCTTCCCTGGCTACCTCGGGCCAGACTGGGCTCTGATCTGCCCCTCTTTCTTACACAGATGTTCGCTCTAGGGCCTCCATTGCTGTGGCACCATTTGACTATGACAACCCCTATCTGGGTGCCTTGGGCTCCCTTCCTGGAGACCGTGATTCTTGTTCTGTTCTGGGGTCTCTCAATCTGCACCTGTACAGAGATCCAGCTCTTCTGGGTGTTCACTGGTCCCTGTATCCACCCAACTTCCCAGAGGAAGCAGCACTGGAAGCTGAGGCGGAGATGGGCAGCCAGCCCTCTTTAAGTATGTGTGGGCTTAGAGGTAGGAGGCATAGCTTGGGTCTGGCCTCCCCTGCTGACAACCCAATCCTCTTCTCTAGCTCCTGAGGACTCGGAGGTCTCATCCCAGTGCCCATCAGCCAGCTCTAGTGGTTCTGACAGCAGCTGTGTGTCAGGGCAGACCCTGGGCAGAGGCCTTGAGGACTTGTCATGTGTGAGTGCCATTTTTTGCCTTATGATCACCAGTCCCTCTCTAACCTACCCTGGGCTATAGCTGCCTTTTCTTTAGGGGAGCTGGAAATGGGTGGGTCAGAGCCACTCCCCAAAGGAATGGCTCTACTAGTTCTCTAGAACCAGATAATCTAAGCATTCATGCTTGACTTGACACCATAGGTTTGAGTCCGGCTTGAAGATGAACAGTAGATACAACAGCCAGAACTCCAAGGAATACCATACCTCTGAATCTACTATGACAGTGCATAGCTGGCTCCTGGGCCATCCCCCTTCCCACCCCTCATACCCAATATGAATGGCCTTGTTGATTATCCTCTCTGATGTCTGTAACCACCAACTGACTGACCTAGGGCCTTTTCCAAGGGTATCTGGCTACAAAGCCTAGATAAGCACCTTGATCCCAAGCTCCTGGGATCCTTCTCCTATCCCCTCCAGCTATCAGCAAATTGTAAGTTAAGGATGGGATGGGGTAGAAGTTGAGTATTCCCAAACTCTAGGCTAGTGGAGTATTATGGAGCTCTCAGAAGTCATGAGGGACACAAGTGGGTTCCCAGCAGGTGCTCCTCAACCCTTGAACTTAATGCTGATTTCTAGCCCAATGTAGCTACCTTATTCTTGAATTCCTTGGCTCCTCATCTCCAACGTCTGGTTTTTTGCGCCAGGTTGGTCATTTTGACTTGATGCTTTTTGTGCCACTTTCAGTTAGACTCATCTACTGGTTTCACTGGTCACTGACACTCAAGTCTTCTCAGAGAAGGAGTCTAGACATCTGTCTTGTGATTTACTCTTTTATTTGTTTATAATAAAAAAGTAGAGTGATTTGTACCATTGACTGAGTATGTACATTCTGGATTTCCACAGTTAAAACGATCCTTGGGTAAGTGGTGGTTTGTAGGATCAACATCTCTGGGTACTCTAGCCCTCTTGTAAATACTTGCCCAGTACTGAGTAAGAGACAGACCTAGACAGTCCCCTCTGGATGAGCAGGTCCACGCAGCGGCCATATTTTCTGGCGAAAGGTAGTGTGAGCTGCAAGGAAAGACCTATTTTATCCCCGATTTCTAGGCCAGCTACCTCTTCTAGCTCTGTGGGGGCATGATGGGGGGGCTCCCTCATCTGGGTAGAGAAAACCTCATTATAGGGGACCTTTGGTACTCTGGGGCTCAGTTCCACCCTAAAGCGTCTCACAGGGCTCTGGCTACCAGAGAACTGACCAAGAGAACTGACCACAATGACAGTAAAAAATGTGCTTCCTGATGCTTGTGTCCTCTTTCTAGCCGTAGATGCCGACTTTAACCTTTATAAATAACATACAAGCTAGAGAGCTACTGGTAATTGGGCAGTCATGTGTTTAAGGTGAATGTCATTATCATTATGTACTTGGTTACAAAAAGCCAGGTTACTGAGAATTTGCTAAATCTTTCATTCTTATAATGCTGAAATTATTCTACAGAATCAGAAAAGAAATAAAAACTAAAATCTTGATTGGTCTACAAAATGAGTTCAAGCCCTAGTTGACAGTGTAGCTAAACTGTGTCTCAAGCTATGAAAAGGAGGCAGCTGGAATATGAGTACTTGTCTGGGTTTAGTGACCTGTAGCAAAAACAAAATAAATGGGGGCAGAAGGTTCCTCAAACCTTGGCCATTCTTTTGCCCTTTTGTTTTCTTTCTTTAAATGTTTTTTTGTCAAGCATGGTAATGTAGGCCTTTGGTCCCAGCACTGGGAGGAAGAGGCAGGCTGTTTCTGTGAGTTTAAGGTCAGCCTGACCTACATAGTGAGCTTTAGGACAACCAGGGATATGCATAGGAAAATCTGTCTCAGCCCTCTTGCAAAACCCCATAAATGCTTTTAGAAAATGCTTTAGGGTTTGGGAGGATTGCTCTGCAGTTAAGAGCACTTGTTACACTAGCAGAGAACTGAGGTTTGGTTCACAACATCTACATCCAATTGTAACTCTAGCTTCCAAGGGTCCAACGCCCTCTTCTGGCCTCTGAGGGTACTGCATGCACATTTGCACAAACATTCATACAGGCAAAACACTCATAACATAAAATAAAAATAAATCCTAAAAAAATCTGTAGAGGAGCTTAAGTATAAAAAATGGTGATATCATAGCGAAGTAGAGGAACTAGCTATTACTGACTGTAAAAGCCTAATTCCATGTCCATGTGCTTGAGTTAATATGTACTTTCAAAGTTGGCCAGGGTTGTTGGTGGTGAAGGCATAGTTGGTGTCATTAGAGGAAAACTATAAAAACAGGCTTCCTAAATGTTGCTTTTTTGACTAGTCTTGATTGGTTAATTTTAGCCATCTACCTCCATGGAACCAGAGAACACTTACTTAGCTGGTTAGCTTTCTAGATGACAGTACTGGCCTGGCAGCAACAATATCCATATTCCCAGAGTTGCCATTCCCTATGTGGGACAGATAGACCTCACCTCTACCCAGCTGTACAGATGTTCCTGAGTGTGTCGGTCATCCTTGAAGCCAGTGATGGCCAGCAAATCCACCACAAACTGTTTGGGGCTGATGTTCAGCGTCTACCAAGAGAGTCTACAGTCAGGTAGGGCCATGGCTAGCTCCCAGCTTCTGCATTCTTATCTCTGTCTTTCCAGCTACTCTTTTGTCCCTGGCTTCTTCCCCTCATCCTCGTGCCTTTTTGTTTAGTTTTCAAGACAGGGTTTCTCTGTGTAACAGCCCTAGCTATCCTGGAACTTGCTCTGTAGACTAGACTGGCCTCGAAATCATGGAGATCCGCCTGGGATTAAAGGCGTGTGCCCCCACCTCCTGGCTCATCCTCTTGTCTTATACTACTTATTGCAAGGGCAAGGGGATACGTGGTGAAGAAACAGAGTGCCCCAAGGCCTGTCATACATACCCATAGCCGGTAGGCCAGGGACACCACCTTGGCTGTGATAGCTTTGGGGTCCTTTTGCCTGATGGAATCCAGGATGATGTCAGTCAGGAAGCGGTGACATTTCTGGGCATAAAACATCTCCTCCCAGGACAAAGAGAAACTCAAGAAAATCACTTCTGTGAAGGAGAAAGAGTAGATATGGCTAAAGCTGCCCATAGTGGAGGCCTTAGAGACAGCCACAGGCCAGGGAGAAGTGTAGAGCACTTAAGTTTGGGGTGTGGCCTCTGCACTTTCACAAGCAGAGTACAGGGCCAGGCATGGCTCCGAAGCCTCACCTCGAGGTTGGGGGCTGGCTGTGAGTGGTGTATGCTTGATATTATCCATCTGTGTGGTGTAGATGATGCTGTCTTCAAAGAACATGCAATAGCCATCACTGCCCACCACAGGGGGGTGAGTCACTTTGAGGATAGCCCCTGGGTTGTCTATCCCATTAACATTAGGCAGAGGCTGCTCAGGGGCAGGGTTTTCTGTGAAAACAATAGAAGGGGTTTTTCTTAGGCTTAAGAACCTAGGCTTGAAATCCAAGCAGAGAGGAGTCTTCTGGTGACAATCAATGCATTCATTCACTCAGAACTTCAGAAGTCTCTTACCTTTTGGAAGTGGTACCCTGACTTGACTGCTTCATTGCCCTGGTTTTGTGGTAAACCCAATCCTAAATTTCAGAACTCTAAGAAACCTCAAGTTAAGACTAGTATCCTCATGGGAGACCTGCCCTTTCCTAAACAGGATGGAGTAAATAGCATAGAGTAGGAGTGAATTGGTGAGTGGAGGGGGAGGAAGTAGGAGGAGAGGAGGGAGGGGGAAACTGCAGCCAGGATGTAAAATAAAAATAAGTAAATAAATAAAAGGCCAGTATCAAATATGCCCAGTAAAAGCCCAGAGGAAGACTTTGAAGCTATGAAAACTAAAAAGTGTTGAGACCTTTCTGGGCAGACCTTTCATGTTTCTCTATTCTGGAAGAATAGGATGTGTTACCTCAAAGGTTTACAAGCAAACTTCAGAGTCACAGAATCCACAAAGGGCCCAGGTTACTAGAAGGGAAGGTGGTAAGAGTACCAGAGTACCATAGGAGGGAGTTCTGGAGATGGAAGGAATAATCTAACATGGACCTTTCAGCAAACTCCCCTGGGTTTTCTCCTCACCGCTGGTTACAAACTGTCTTAAGCTCAGTCCCCACAGGCCTTCCTGGAGGGGCCTTAGCATCTCACTATCACGTGTGCTCTTCCCAGAGGTCTATTTTCTTTTGTTCACCCACTTCAATAAGGACCCTTCCAGCTGCCATAGCCAACCGAGATACCTGGCCTCTTGGCACCTCTGTCTTCCTGCTTTCCTCTACTGCTAAGCCTCCTCCTTTCCTTAGTCTGGAATGCACCCATGCTGCTGACACTTTGTCTCCTGTGACCACACTTCCTCTGTCCCTGAGCAAGCTTCAGATCATGCGTGCCCCCTTTAAAAAATCCTTAGGACTGTCCATCCCAACTAAGGTCAGAACAGAGCACCACATTCTGAGCTTAGCCCACAAGACCTAGCCTGATGTCTCCTGTCTTTGGTGCCATTTCTACAGCTTGTGCACTGGAATCCAGGCTTCCAGCTAAAGCAGTGCCCTGGGCTTCCATGAACACCCTAAATGTTCTCTCCCTGCTGGCTCCCCAGTGACTGGCCTCTTGTGTTCCTATTTCCTGGGTTCTCCTTTCACAGAATGCTCATCACCTCACCTTCTCTGGCCACTCATTTCTGCATGTGCTGCCGGGCATCAATGACTAGGAGGCACTAACTCTTTCTGTGGTCTGAACCTGGAAATTCGCTATCTATTGAAAATGAGACTTGGGTCAAAGGTGGGGCAGGACTCACCTCTCTCCTTGGGCCTCTGCTTGCCCCAGTCCTTTAGGGTGACAGCTCTTTTTGTGGGAAAGTATGGCTTAAAGGTTGGCTCTGGACCCTTGTCTTTCGCTCCAACTCCAGGCCCAGTCTGGGGACCAGTGTCCTTCTCCGAGGTTATGGAATGAGCTTTCCAGGAAGCTGAGGTACCAGGTTGGCAAGCAGCCTCACTACCTGAGGGGACATGCAGGGTAGCGTCCTCCAAAGAGCTGCTCCGGGAGGCGGTCATTGGCTGGAATTCCCATTGTTTACAGTTGACCATGTCCCATTCCCTTACCAAAGATATCAGTTTTTGCATGGGGGTGACAGGAGGGTCTTTGGCATCAGATTTCTGTGTAAGGTTTATAGTGGTGCACTTCTTCTTGGGAGGACTCTCAGAGTGACCTCCCCAGTGCCTGGGGTTGGCACATAAGCCAGAACAGTGTGAGTATGTGCTGGGATTGCCTCCCCTCTTGGCATTTCTGCATAGGGAGACCTGAATAGTGCGAGTATACTGTTCAGCCTCTTCCATCTGGCTGGATCTGGTCAGGTTCCCTTTGGCCTTGTTCCATGGAGTCCTGTCACTGCAATCTTGGAAGTCCACAGGCATGCAGGTTGTGGTCTGGGGAGGGAGAGGCACAGTAGCTATGGGCCTGTTGTACATTATCAAAGTCTCTCAAAAGCCTAATGAGCTGGGCTTTAAGATAACCTGTTCACCCAGAACAATCTTATCCCCTGAGATGGATCACTATTTACATTTACTCGGTCTGTGAGAGAGTGGTACCAGCCCAGGAAACTTTTATATTCCCAAAGGAGAGATTATCATCCCAGGTAACAAGTGGCTATCACACTTCTATGCCTCCTAAAGGTTCACAAATCAGTTCTTGAGCCCTGTGGTGGTGATGTTTGAGAACAGCACCAACCAAAGAGAACTGGGACTTACTTCCTTGGCATCTCTACTGAACTCAACCATTGACCCTGCCCCTTCTGTCACCACGTGCAGCTTCCTAATAGGAAAAGCTTCCTCATTTTCAGATTCTTTTTCCTGAG